GAAACAGTCAGCAAACAAAGATGGCCGGCCGCCAAGACAAAGACGGATTACAGTCGACCAATAGGAAAACAGGAAACAAGGATGATTGTCCGAAAAGAGTTTGACTACTGACAACAGTCAATAGTAACGATGAAAGAATTAAACATGAACAAATGTCACATGTATCTTGCAACCTCAGTTCATATGAATTCTCTATCTTCCACTTTCAACATTCCAATCTTTATGCTTCTCTTTTATCCAAATAGGCAGCCAAAAGACAGCAACCCAAACTGGCTCACGAAAGTGCATTGTTGTAAAAAATGAAACTGAAACTGTATTAACTTCCTCAAGTCAAGGAAGCTGCGCGGAGGTCAGCAAATGCCTACCAAATGAGATGTGACGAGCTCTACAGAGAAATTAGAAGCGGGATAATTTCCACAAGATGCTGCAGATATTTGACTGTAGACCGACACCATCAAACTAACGATAGTAATGTTATCATTAAGAGCTCTCTACATTCATAGAAGCATGCTGTGCATCCGGGTTGTGTACGTGTCTGTCAGTCAACGCAAATCCATTCACTATCAACCTGGTATGTGTATTTGCATTTCCAGCCCTGAATCGACCAGCAAAAGCAACGTTCTTCATGATGCGGTTGTCCAATATTGATCGTATTCTTTGTTTTTTCTTCCTTCATGTAATTGTCATTCTGTTCTCCACAAACCCCTTATCTCATCACGTTTGTCACTTAGCGCCGGGAGCGGGTGGAACGATGGCGTCGAGAACGAAAATTGAAACAGGATATCATCAACGTGCACCAACGAATCGCTGAATCCACGAGGATGGCACAAGTTCGTAAATGGAATCTGGAAGATGATGACGATGATGAGAATGAGGCGAATAAGAAAGCCGCCCAGGCTGAAAAAACTGAGGATGATGTAGATCCATTGGATGCCTATATGCAGGTACAGCATCAATACGCGCAGATTTTCACTGCAGCGTACGACGAATACTCATTTGGTTCCGTTTTTCATTCCATCATTGTATTACTTACCATGCAACACATACTGATACACACTGTGTTTATTGTTATTATTATCTCACGCGTGTCTGAGTCCAAATTGTGTGCCAAAAAAACTACAGTAAAATAATCTATGTAAAAATAAAAGGTCTGTTATTTGCTTGTGAGCAGGATACTACCAAGTTACCCGAGACAAAGCTAGTCAATTTTCTTGTCGGAATTCACAACCGGAGCTCTCAGTTAGCTAAAGCCTGACCCACATGGCAGGTGAACGGTTTATGGAAACCGTAGTCCATTGGGGTCCGAAGTCGGGTTTATTGGAACATGCGCCCTTTGGACTGGGTTAAACTTCCAAGGTGCCCAATGAACCTTGATCCCTAGTAAAACCGGTGACAACCGCCAGAACCGGGAAGAAATGCGTGATTCGTACGCCCCTTCTTGGTTGGTTTGGAATCAGGGATTTATCCAATTCGCGTGAGTGAACGGTCAGTGATTCATCCACTCGATTATAGCCCCTGAGGTTAGGTTTTTCGTCCACTTGTAGGAAAATACCTTCGGCAGGGGAGGCAGTAAGTTGGGCGTCTTCAATCAATCAATCGAGATTGATCAGCTTGGTCGTAAAGAAGCATTTTACGAGGCCCAAAGGAAGGTTGACTATCTATAACCCAAGTCACACGTTCCCGACCCTGTGGTTATCATTTTGGTAGTTGCGTGACGACTGACGGTAGTACAGTCAGGTAACCACCCGTATTTCCGAGGCACGAGCAGTCCATCTAGGACTGGAACATCTTCAGTGCCGACATGATGTTTTCCTTAATGTGAAACATCGCACATACCACACCAGTGTATTATCATTTCTGCTTTATGGTTGCGATACCCTAGACTTGCCTGTCGTCATCGTTTATAAGTCTTCAACTGTATGTGTTTACGTAATTTAGTGCGGGTTGGATTGGGCGAGTGTGTAAGCTACTCTAAGACCAGCGGTTGCGTATTTGTTAATGATTCGTTGGGGAATTCGTTGTTTCATCGAATTGAGGTTAGTCGGTTTTGCTGATTAGAACATGTATTGTGCATACCCCGCCATCGTCTACCGCACCTTCCTTGTGGTTGCAGCTCCCGATACGAAAAAATCACATTGGAGTGAACATATCATGGAAACGGGGTACGAAGAAATGCACAAATTGATTAGGTAGAGTAGGTGTCTCCCGCTTTCCACGTTGGGCTCCAGAAGACTCTCTGGATAACTGTTATCCAGTAGCGTCCTTCGCAAAAATGTCTCTTCTTCTTGAACAGGAATATTTGCTTCCCTGACACTGTCCAAAAAGAAGAGACCTTTTTGCGAAGGACGCTAATGGATAACGGTTATCCAGAGAAATCTACTGATGTGCATAGCAGACTAAAGACACCTGTTGATCCCGTCTGCGAAGTACCGAAGAAGAACGTCTTCCTCAGACTCGCCTTTAAAGGTGATCATATGATGAACGACGTGCGTCAAAAGCTCAAGGCAGAATTGTGTTGAACGTTTCCTACCGCACAGCTTCGATTGATACCGTATACCCAAGGACTACGTTTAGACAATCAAAAACAGAACCAGCCGAACAATACTTCTTCACATATTGTCTACCAGTTCACCTGCAGTTGCGGTGACACTTACATTGGCAGAACGAATCAGCCCTTGGTTGGCGGATGTCTGAACACATTCCCAAGTGGTTGGTACAATCGATGACGCAACAAAGTCTTACAGAGCAAACTGTTGAGAGAAATCCAGGGTCATCTTATGGCAACTGGACACATCGTTGACCCACAAGTGTCGTTCAAGCTGTTATTGCGTAACATGAACCCCAGGATTTTGGCGTTTAGCGAGGTGAAAACACTGTTTTCCCTTCACAAATTTGAACAGAGAAGTCAGAAACATGGGTTTGCACAATGTATCTCAAATCTGTTATCTCACTGACTATAAAAATCACTTGGACTGCAGTATGCACGTGTACAGATGCAGCGAAATGACCATGGATACATTGTGCAAACCCATGTTTAGCGAGGTGATGCTAATCAAGTTACGTAACCCAATCCTGTGCGCACAAAAGTTCCTTACACAATCAGTCAGAATGCCATGGACCTGATTTCCCACCCAACCCTTTTCACCGCTTCCCTGACCATTGTCCGTTTTACCACTGTAGTTACCAAAACTTGCTTGTATAAACACCAGATTGTTTTACGTTGTAGCGACTGAAGAGATTCAAAGAAGTGTTACCATCTCACAGTATTTTATCCTTTGTTTAACACAAGTAGTCTCGACAATTCACGGTTCATGGTTAGTTTTGTTGCAATTCACTAGCTATTTCTGGCAATCAGTGCTACGTTATTCATGCGAGAAAACGAATTTTGTAAACCAGCAACTATAATTCGCAATTTCTTCGTAGTATATAATTTTTCCTGCCACAGATAAATTGTTGAGTGTAATACAGTTTGTTAATTTTGCAGCTAAGTAACTTAATCAAAGAGTCTGTGTGAAGACGAACGATGAACTCTAGACCGCTTTTCCGTCCTCGTTGAAACTGATCAGCGTGGCGCACTATTTTTCTATCTCTAGCGAGACTCCCAACGTGAACTATCTGGTTGGGATTCAAAACCCTTACTCATGAGCTACAGGGTCGATGATCAACGATCGAGCGCATCTTTATACGGATCGAGATATTTTTGCTTATTCTCATCCAAATTCGCAGATACCTGTTACGATGTGGGGAATAAATGAATTCTTAATGGATGAACCTCATACAAGCACAACAATACACAAACTTCATGCCTGTGAATTCGGATTCGGAAAACCAAGACTTCTTCACAAGTCACGTGAATTCGTTTGAATTAACGGTCGTAAACGGAAGGTTCGTGTGCGGAATAAATTTTTTGACAATTTAAATTGAAAAGTACCAATGAAAGCGCTGCTAGTTACTGAGCTTTCTGATTACGCAATAGAATCTTCCAATAAGGAATTGCAATAGGTTTGCCGTATTGCAACAGTTTCACATTTCGTGTTGCGTAGAGCGCTTCGGATGCCATGTTTCGATCACTCCGATGCTTTATTGTCAACATATATCGCGCTGTCGGAGATTACAGAGTCTTGCACCTATGACCGGTGTCACTAAGCAGTGTGGTCGTGCTCGATTGTGTCATCCGATGTTAAACTCAGTTCTGAATGCGTTTCGTGACCCTGTTGCTTAATTACGTTTCCCTTTTCACCCACTTAATTAATTAAGCTCCCCCTCCCTAGGGCTCCCTGTAGGTCAGATTAGACAGGCGTATCATATTACCATTACCGTAAACAGTAGTGGTGCAGGTATTCAGGTGATTCTATTGACTGCATTTGGATCGGCTGCATGATAGTTCCAAGCAAACCCAGTTAGGTGATCGTAATTTCCTATCATACAGATGAGGAGAGATGCAGCGAAATAATTTTGAACCTGAATCACGCACTGCTGACATCACTGTCTGTTCTATGCAACACGATTTCGGANTATATATATATATATATATATATATATATATATATATATATATATATATCAGTTCAGGGCCGCACATTATGTTATTTTGATCCTGGAGTTTTGATGTATATATACTTATGCGTTCATCATCCATATTCACTCCACTTGAGACGCTATGTTTTAATTAGTCGGTTCGACCAGTTGCACCAAGCATTGCATACATTCGTGTTTACTGTCGCTCATGGTTCAGGTAGCCTATCCACCCTCCATAACTGCTTTTTTTACCGCTTTTTTGTNTGTTTACATTTCAGTCTTTGAATGAGGAAATGCGGCAAGACGTTGATCAGTCCAATGAACCTTCTTCCGAAGTGAAAACCGAGGAACCAGAGGACACTGAACCAAATTCGACCGCCGATCGCAAACCGCCAATCGTGAAGAAGAAAAAAGAGATTGGCAAAGGTGAGCTCATGGAGAGCAATATTGACGAGATGGAGTACTCATCTGAGGAGGAAGAGGAGACAATTGAAGATGCACTGGCTCAGTTGCAAAAGAAAGAAAAACTACTCCCGGTCGATCACTCAAAGATTGCGTATGAACCATTCCGCAAAAATTTCTACATCGAAGTGCCCGAGTTGGTGAAAATGTCCAAAGAGGATGTGAAAGCGTATCGCGCAAGCCTAGAAAATATTCGTGTTCGGGGCAAGGATTGTCCGAAACCGTTAAAAACTTGGGTTCAGGCGGGAATCAGTTCACGCTTACTTACTTGCTTAAAACGGTAAGTAAGTAAGATAAATAGGATTTGATAATGGGGTTAGCTGCCTTGTCAGTATAAACAACATCAACGATCACTGTAACCTTCAACATATCTTTTTTCAAAAAACCCACTTGAATGCAAATAAAAATTAGAAAATAATTACAAAGTAGTATAGCCGGAACAAATATTATTGTCCGTACTCCCTTTCCCCTTTTCTGGCCATATCAAGTATCGCTAACACTGGTGCGAAAGTTTCTCTACCGAAAACCATACAGTAAACAAATGATTAAATCATCTACTCCACTTTTCCAGATGAGGCAGTGCTAGATTACTGTAGACCTAATTACATTCAACACCCATTACTGGCCAGGAAGACTGAAAATTGCAGTAATGTCAGGCATAGTCACAACGAAAATACCTAAACATGACCACAACACTTGTCCGGGTGGTTGAAATGATTTCTCGAAACCACATGCCTTAGGGTGGAGATCGCGATGCGTGAAGACAACACAATAACTGTGCATGTGTGCTGTCATCTCTGCCTGTGTGTTCCATTAGGACGGTCATCAAGGTTTTGTGGGGACCTACCCGTATTAAGTGACCGGTGTTAATGTTTGTAACTGAGCTTGCTAACAATACGCATGAGATCATGTGCTCTATCGGGAAAGTCCACAGAGCGTCATGCGCATGTCNCATAAATGTTTCAACAAATGTTTAAATTAAACATTTAAAGGATTCCGCCTCAAGCGAGTTCAACACCATCTACTTGTTCCTGTCATGCTATATATATATATATATATAAACAGAGAGAGAGAGCTGACGAGGAATTTTTCACTTGTACACAAGGAGAGAATTAGTGCCCTCTAATTTTCCAAAGCATTGTGTCATCTTTTCTCACGCAGTCCCTGGTGTCACACTTTTTCATACTAGGAACAAATTCGACAAGCCCACTCCTATTCAGTGCCAAGCTCTCCCGGTCATCATGTCCGGTAGGGACATGATTGGGATTGCGAAAACCGGTAGTGGGAAAACACTGGCTTTTCTGGTCCCCTTGATGCGTCATTTGGAACATCAGCGCCCACTTGATCCGGGTGAAGGCCCAATCGCCCTGCTGCTCTCTCCCACTCGCGAATTGGCTTTGCAGATTTTCAAAGAGGCGAAAAAGCTCTGTCAAGCCATGGATGCTCGCGTAGCCTGTGTATACGGGGGCACAGGCATCAGTGAACAGATTGCTGAGCTCAAACGAGGTGCGGAAATCGTGGTCTGTACACCTGGACGCATGATCGACATGCTCGCGGCAAATGGAGGTAGAATGGGTTATGTGATCCTCATCTCATTCACAAACCGGTTTCCTTTTTCGTATTTGTGATTAGTTCTTGGTGATATATCTAACAACATTGGGGACTTATTTTCCTTTTATTTGAAAAGTTAAAACCCGTTGATTGCTAATGTTTTATCACTGTCCAGCAGAATTCCTTACTGCGTTTAGTCCTCAGTTCATCTGATCATCCAAACACTTAAAAAGTATCAGATTCTGGTTTCTTTCTCATTAGCACTCGTTACCAGCTTTCACACTCCAAATCCATCGCATACTACTCATGTAAGTTACCACTCTGTCAGCCTGCTCACATTAGGACTGGCCACAATTGCCAGTTCAGTTTCGTTCAAATGTCATTTGAACTTGCAGTTCACACCCGGCGCCAACAAGTGGAAATAGTTGGGCATCTTTTGTGAACAATCCAGAACCTTCCGCCCGATTAGGTCCTCCATCACAGCGTCTGGGTTGATGTCCACATTTACACCGACTGGGTTCGATTTGTCGTTTTAATTTTGTCTCACTGCGCTTGCCAGTCTGCTAGGCCCGAGGTTCGAACCCAACCATTTCCATCCAACTTCGTTTCGTAGACAGTTTTTCTGTCACATGGATTAATATCACCCCCCATTCTATTGACTTGATTTACTTGAGTACGTATATCTCCGTGAGAGAGAATAAGCCTCCTAAATGAATGACCAGGAAGTTCCTTGGGAGTTTGCTACAAAACAAGTTCCTAGCATCGCTCGGATTTGTATTTCGAAGANNCTAGCCTTTGCGCAGCCAAATACGGACCGCAAAGCGGCAGCTTGATGGCACATGGTCGTCGGTGACCCACTACGAGTTAATCTGCATTCTGCTGGTGTGGATTCAAACCACGGCCCATTTATGACTTCTAGTTTAACAAATTTCCTTTCTGACTTGAACGTTTGACCCCGTCCAAAGGGTGTATGGTCTGAGCAACTGGACATCGCCCCCCAATGGACTGCTGACTCTGAGCCCCATCCTGCTGTCTTGCAGGTCTGGATTCGGGTGGGTACCCCGAGGTTGTCGCCGTTTCCTCGGTCAGTGCAACCGGGAAGTGATATGCCCACGCAACCTCTGAACACATTCTACAGATTTTTTTCTTCAGATGTTGTAGTAGATTTGCCAGTTCTTCGTAATCGGTTACGTGTTGAAATAAAAAATAATAGCTATTGTCTTAGGTATCGTCCCCACACTCAGGAGTAGTTGTTTTCTTATGCAGTACACCATATTCCAAAATTTTTCCTCCTCTGTTACCCTCAACCTGGTTTTACATGCTTGTTTAATGGTTCACCGTGGTGTGGTCATTTCAGCGTGCCTCAGCTTAAAACCACGAGCGGGAGGTTGGTAGTTAATGGGGCAGGGCGAATGGTTGGAGTATACCATACATGATAGTCTGTTTGCTCATAGGAGCTACTCCAATAAGATTCCCCTTACACTTCCTAGTGAATAATTATTTGATTATTGACTACAAATCTCAAGGCTGTTGGTTTCCTTCGCCGGGAAGTAAAATCTCTTGGCTGTGGGTTTCGTTCCACTAATATCCACAGTGAAAATAATTGATAATGAGCATAAGCTGCTAGTATAGCTTTGCATACTTCCCAGAGACGTTTGAATCTTCACTTAAGTAATATGTTCACCGACAATGATCAGTAACGTATATATCATTGGTCAGTTACAAACTGCGTAGATTAACAAGAAGTTCACACGGAACTTGATGCTGATCAATTAGAATGTGTGCCGATCAGTAAGTGTATTGTTGAATTACGGGAAATGTTTATTCGGTATCCCAAGTAGCAGAAATGGGATCTACACCTTTTCCCTGTCAGGCCTTAGCCAAAACCCGCAATCCTTTAGCCAAAGCCCGCAATCCTTTAGCCTTGACCTGTAATCACGACGAGACTGCACCTTGACGTAGTGTGATGGCTTGCGCGCCTCCACGACCCTGCGAGCTACACAGGATGGCTTTTCACAGCCGTAGATCAAATCATGCCTGAAAGGTCAACGGGTAGAGGCCAGACGAAGACCAGTCTCACAAGGCCAGCTG